ATATATATATGTATTGTAACACCCGACTTTCGTAACATGTGTTATTTTACGAAATATAGATATTGTGAGTTGAGCAAATGAGATAAAGCCTTGAGTTGCTTTATTTTTAGAAATAATATTTATAAAAAGATAATCAAATAATGTTGTAGAGCTTATTGAGAAGATTTTGTGGATAAAAAGATCATCAAAAACGGAGTCCATATGACGAAGTTATGATCGTTTGAAGATTTGATGAAAGTGCGCTGCTATATTGAGAAAGTGAACAAAAATCAAGTCAACGGTCAAACCTTTGACTCTCACGACGTGAGGAATGCTGTCTCACGACGGGAGCAACGTGAATCGACAAAAACACATGTCGAAAGAGCAGAACACGTGGCAGAAACCGGTCTAAACGCTTCTCATGACGTGAGAGGTATATGTTCACGACGTGAGCATCCCCAGAGTATAAATATGAGTTTTTTGAGTCATTTTGGAGTATTTTGGCGTATGTGAGGAGATATGTTGTTCGAGATCTACTCTCGGGAGTCTATACCGGAGATGTTATGCTGGCGTACGGGTGATACAGAGTTGAGTTGCGGGATACAGTAAGGTATTTTTTACTCGATAAATTGTATTTATGATATCTGATTATTATTAGATATATTAGACCCGTGTAAGGGTTACGGGTATTTGTGATATGGAGCTATTATGAACTTGTTGGTGAGACTAGTGAGAAAATCTCATGATTAGATATTGAGTTTGGTTGATAAGGGTTATAAACCCTATTACACGAGAAATACCCGATATGATGGATTTAGCCACGGGCTTACGGGTTTATCCTATTATGATAATATTATGATATTTGGTTATTATTATTATAAGAGGTCATAGGGTATAATTATTAGTGAGTCTGGACAGCATCTGAGGAACTTGTTATTTGATAAATAGGTGTTACCATGTGACGAGCTGATAGATAGTGGAAAAGCAAAGCTGAGACTGGAATAAGTCTATCGACTAACCAGGTGAGTAACATCACCCTAACATCCAGTGTTGTGATAATTGTGATGATTATTAATTAGAATATTAATTGTTGATTGAGAGATTGAGAAATTGTTGAAAAATAGATTATAGATGAGAGATTGGATTATATTAATAGATCAATATATGATCGATAGATATATTATGATTGGAAGATATAACCCATTTGATATATTGATCATTGAGTATGAGATTTAAAATGAGTGAGATACTGATTATTGATTGGGCAGGTTTTTGAAATGATTACATATGTGACAATTATGTGGAATATACATGATTTACATTATTTTTATGATTTATGATTTATCTGATTATGTTTTAGTAGTTGTTATTCACTAAGCCGTGAGGTTTACGTTTTTGTGATAATCTGTTTTGCAGGTAGATTTATTGTGACGCCCGACTCGATCTTGTGTTTGCTGTCACCACGATCCTTGTGATAACTTCTTGTATGCCAGAGTGTCACTGTACACCAAAATTATTTGTAAAACTTTTAAATGATTTTTGATAAATTTGAGTGTACATTGGTAGAAAAATCTAGGCGTTATATATATATATATATATATATATATATATATATATATATATATATATATATATATTATTAAAACCATTATATTTTAAAAGTCTTATTTAAGGTTTTCTAACCTTAGGAAAAACTCAATTATTTTCATTTAAACATTAGAAAACCCAATATATTTTTTTAGTGCATCAAAACTCTTATATTTTAAAAAAAAAATTATCTAATAGACTAAAACCATCAAACCGTTGAGAATCGATTACCGAACATATTGGTTATCTAGTGTTTACTGAGCTCAAAGCCTTAAATTAGACATTTTAAAAAATATAATGGTTTTAACGTACAAAAAAAATATATAATGATTTTTTAAGAATTTGATGAAAATATATTGAGTTTTTCTAAGATTTTCCACATGATTAATCCGTAGGGCGTGTTCGGCACGGAGCGTTTGAGAGCTTCTAGCTTCTAGCGTTTGACAAAACGCTCCGTTTTGAACAAAAAACATTGTTTGACACTACAAGCTTGTAGCGTTTAGTTTAGACAAACCGTTCCAAATCCAAATGCTACTTCATATAGCGTTTAACAAAACGCTACAAGCTACAAGCTACCCGCTAACAGCTAATTTTGCCGAACACGCTCTACATATCTTTTTTTTTCTCTAGCAGAAATTGGTTTAAAGGATTTTTTTTCTTTTGATTAAAACGTGGATGGAGTGTGTTTAACAAAAATCCACAATTTAAGTTTTAGTTTGGAAAATGTTTAAAAATAATTCAAAACAAAGCTTAAAATATACTGAATGGTAAAAAAAAAGTTTATTATTTGGTTTGAAATTTGTTAAAGGCTCAGGTTAAGGTCTAAATCTGCTTTAAAAAAGTAGTAACTGGTTAAGTTCTAGAAATAATTTTGGGATTGGTTTCGATTTAACGACAAAATGATCCCCACGAATAAATTAAAATATAATGTTTTTGTTTAAATGTTATGCTTTATAAAATTATTTTGTTTATTTATTAAAAAAGGAAAAAAAGATGACATGGAAAATTAAAATGGTGTGGTGTATGGTGCTGTTTTCGTAGCAAAGAGGCGGAAGGTGGTGTAGCAAAAATATGTGCGGAGAGAATGGCCTATACTATAAATCAAAAAATATTAATAACATAAAGCTGGAGCTAAAACTTTTATCATATTTTTTATCATTAAAAAATATTTGCTTAATTTGTTATGATGACCTTTTTTATGCGTTTTTATCTAGAGATTAAGATGTATTCAAATAATTAAATATTTTATTATGTATGAGTACATTTCCATAAAAACAAAGATTTTGAAAGAAAATCATTAAGTATATTTTCAACAATAAAGAAAACAATAACCTTTGTTGTCCACCGACACATTAACACCCTCTTTTGCCCATTTCTATTTTATATTTAAAATGAAAAAGGGTTTTATAAAATGAAATATGTGGTCGCTTTCTTTATGACTTTCCTAACAATCACTCTTTCAGTCTTTCTTGAATTCTTGTCCGTTGTATTTGTTTTTTTATTTCCATTGTGACATAACATCTTTCATCTTCCTAATCCAAAGTTACTCATATCCTTACAAAAATATAATTAAAAAATCTAGAAAATAAACATGATTGATTCATAAAGTTTTCATCAATGTTCCAACATTGATCTCATAACAAATATGGTAACTCCAAATAACAAGCCAGGTGCATGACTTCTTTATATTTGTTATTTAGTTTTTCTATAGTTTTTAAAAACGTTCGAATTTGATCTAATTCGACTTGATTTTCTATCTAAATTTATTTGAAATAACTAATAAGAGTTCAATAAAACATATGACTATTTGCATAATAAAACTACTGACATTATTATTTCCATAATAAACTTATACACATATATTAGAGTTACTTTGGAATCCAGTTATTTTATTCATAAAAACTGTTATATTAAAAAATATATAAAAACTAAATATTATATAAAATAAAATATTAATTAAAGGGAAATCTCCATTATTTTACCCTAAAAACGAAAAAGCATGAATTACCGGTAAAAATGGCGATTTGATCCTTTTTTTTCCGGTTTACCGGTTTTATTACTTACATGTTTCACTAAAGTCCCATTATTTTACCCTAATTTGCGAATAATTCCCAAAATAAAATTTACTGATGATTTGGCCATTTTCTTCATGTAACATACATTTTATCGGTTTCATTGCTGACTTAGACACATAGTCATTAAATTAGCTGATAAGATGAATACGATGGGTTATATAATGTCACATTTACTGTAAAACTTGATACCCATCTCATCGGCTCATTTATGACTATGTATCTACGTTAGCAATGAAACCAATAAAATGTGTGTTTCCAAGAAAAAATGACAGAAAATGAGTTGATGTCTGATGAGATGAATATATTGGGTTACATAAGATTAGATAGACAATTTGATATTTCTTATAAACGTAAAAAATAACGCAATTGTTGTTAGTTTATGTAATTATTGTAGTCTTCGTTGGCTGCATTTTATGTTCCAAAAAGATATACAATACATCAGGATATCAAGTTTTATGCTAAACATAGCATTATATAACTCAACATATCCATCTCATCATCTCATTTAATGACTAGGCGTCCTGGTCAGCAATGAAACCGGTAAAATGTATGTTACATAGAGAAAAGGGTCAAATCATCAGTAAATTTTATTTTGGAACTTATTCGCAAATTAGGGTAAAATAATGGGACTTTAGTGAAACATGTAAGTAATAAAACCGGTAAACCGGAAAAAAAGGCCAAATCGCCATTTTTACCGGTAATTCATGCTTTTTCGTAAACAAAATTTAGTTTGAGACTTTTTCGTAAATTAAGGTAAAATTTTAGGATTTTTCTGGATATTTCCCTTAATTAAAAGGATAAAAATAAAAATGAAAAAGAAGGTAGATGTTTTGAGTTATTGATATGAGAAATGAAATAAAAATGTCAAATCAAATAATGAATGTGCTAATAGAAATTCTCATGGAGTCATGGTGCCGGTAGCAATTGTCTTTCCTCTCCGAATTATCATCTAAAATCTTTAATGTAGTTGGAACTATAAAGCAACATCATTTTCTTCACTCCTGTTTATGTGGGACTAAGGGGCTGTTTATGTGGGACTAAGGGGCTGTTTAGTAGGATCTGAATTTTTAAAATCTGAATTTTTAAGAGATCTGAATTTCTAAGAGGGTCTGAAATTTTAAGAGTTGAATGTTTAACATGCTGTTTGGTTGGGACCTCTGAATTGTTGTGCTGAATTATTAAAATGACCATTTTATCCTTTTGTTTTATTTTTTATTAAATTCAACTGTTTGTTTAGAAAATAACCTAATAAATTTCTTAAATACGTATTAAAAAAATATAAACACCATATAAAATCCAAATTTAACATAAATCAAAATTAAACCACACAAAAAGTAGCATAAATTTTCCAGAATTGTGCAACAAACCAAACAAAAAACATTTAAACACATTTCACAACAGAAGTTGATACATGAATACATCCTTTCAAAACTCAACTTTCATTCAACAAATATAATGAATCTATATAAATCATCTACCTACAATTACACAATATCCCCCACACTACACTGCATACTTCTTTCCTAGCCAAATGTCAATAGTTCAATACTTGTTTCTTCAACTGCTTTTATAATCCTTTCAAAACCACAAGTCAACCTGTATGCAAATATTGTATACAACAACCCACCATCAACCATTATCCAGCCACCATATCCATTAATCCAAATCCAACATTACCCCCCTTCACTCTTTCCTGAACCACCGAACACCACCCACACAAACACCATTCCTACATTTTACCACCATCACCACAGCCTATAACGACAAAACCAAATCACCCAAAAAAACATACACAAAAAAAAAATTGACCATTAACATCAAATATAGATTACAATTGAAGAAATCAGAAACTGAATAGCATAACATAAGAACTGATTAGCATAACATAAGAACTGATTTGGAGCATAACAAAAGAAGAGCAATCAATTTTCAGAAGAAGAGAACAAACCTGTTATCGATTTCTGATTTTGGACTTTAGGGCACAGAAAATGCTGGGAAAGCTGCTGAGACGAAACAAACGGGGTTACAAGGCTGCTGGGACATCGGCGATCGGCTGGACGGCGTCGTTTCAGGCGGTCTTCGGCGACGGGAACTATGCGAAGGAAGCAGACTCGAACCGGGGAAGAAAACGCAACTCGAAAATCAGAAATCGCTGCTGAGACGAAACAAACGGGGTTGCAAGGCTGCTGGGACATCGACGATCGGCTGGGCGGCGTCGTTTCAGGCGGTCGTCGGCGACGGGAACTAGGTGAAGGAAGCAGACGCGACTGGGGAAGAAAACGAAGGAGGAAGACGCAAGAACAGGAGAATAGGAGGCGGGTATGTCCGACCGTGTCGTTTAGGGGCAAAACAAGATGCGCGTTCCTTTTTTTTTATTTTCAGACTTTGTTCAGAATTTGAAAAATTAAGAGGTGTTTTTTATTTTAAGAGGTAAAAAATAAGACTCAAACAAACAATCTGAATCTGAATTTTTCAGACATTGCCTCTTAATTTTACAATTAAGAGGTAAACAAACGGACCTAAGCAAAAGCAAAAAAACTACAGCTTTACCAAAGCAAAGTGACAAATAATGTAATACTCTTAACAATACGGCATGAAACCAGTGAAACCTTTTTTAGCTTTAACTTCTTGTCTTCATTAACCCTTTTGAGATTCAATCACAATCACCAAGTGTTATTGTCATCTGGGCTTACTTTTACAGTATTAGACTCGTGGTTTTATTTCTTAATACCAGTGTGTAATATGGACTAAAACATTTTGAGTAGTAAAAAGTCACGTCTAGATCGGAACTAATTATAGTATTTTTAGTCGATTGTATTCAATTTTATACTGGAGTCATCAGTACTCCTAATTTGAGTACTTGACTCATGCTAAAATTTGTACATGATATGCCTTCTTGTATTAAATGAGTTGGTTTGTTATGGAGATCGTGTTATAACACGGATAAATAGTTATATGGCATGCCGATTGATGAAATGAGTTATTTCATTCTATGATTATGGATTTTATGGCTAGGTGTTCGAAATCATATTACATATATAATTGGTGTCTTATGAAAATTTGTTTCCTGCATTATTGCACATGCATATTTTTGTGAAAATCATGAACTCGCAAGATGCATAGCTATTATGCGTACGTATCAACAAGTATTAAAGTTGATGAATCTTCAAAAGGAACGACTAGAGCTGAATGAGCTTTGGGATGACATTAATTAGTCATTTATCTATGTTGATTTAATTTGAATTTAAACTATTGTAAGTTCTAATGTATTAGTATTAAGCTTTCATTATGAAATATTCACTATCTCTCATCCAGTGTATAGATTCCAAGTAATATTAAAAAGGGGGTATTAATGTGTTATATCAATTACCAAATTAGCACTAACATAGTAATGTTTGATTTAATTTTCCAATACCAGAAAAAGGGTATCAATTAAATTAATACACATGTAGCATGAGTCCATAAAGTCATCACCTTACCTTACATGTGAAGGTGTGATGATTTCCATGAAGAAAAAGCCAATATGTAATTGCCATCACAATCCACCATTATTGTTATTGTATTTGCATTTGAAAGTGACCAATTAACATTATATGCATCTTATAGAAGCTCAACACCTCACATTTCTTATTAAAAAAATTCAATCCAATATAGTAAATACCATCATTAGCAATGATCATTTGTTTGATCTCTTTGGGTCCATTTAAGACCTAAAACTTCTTAGCAAAATTTGTTAATTTATTGTTTCCTTTCATTTTCGATCGATAATAAATTGTCATTGAAGTGATTAACAAACTACAACCAGCTATAAGCTACTTTGTTTTTTAAGTTTTTTAAGATTTCATGTTTTGCATGCCAGAAAATTGCTTATAACCCATATTTTTAAGAAAGCTACTTAAAAGTTTTTTAAAAGCTTTAAAAAATTTCCTAAACATACTCATAATTAATTATAGATAACATAAATTCTTCTCCAGCTTTTTAAATTTTTTTTAAAATTTACTCATAATTAATTATAAAAAACATATATTCTTCTAAAGCTTTTTAAAAATTTCCCATATCCCATATACTCGACATTAATTATAGTAAACATATATTCTTCTAAATTTCATTTTATGTCATTTAATATTCTTCAGCAACCTTAAAACTTCTTTTTATTAAACGTTATTTTTATCGACTAGTTTTTCAGCTATTACGCCAAACATACCCTTAATAGTAATTATCCGTTAATGTAAAATACAAATAAACATTGCATATTCAAATAAGATCGATATATAATTTTCATCTTTGCTAGGTAGATTAAAAAGACACATTTGTATATTTATCGAAAAACAAAATAAATACATCAAAAAATCATTTATAGTAATTACAGTTTTTATAGTAATAAAATAAAATAATTCTTCAAAAAAAAGGCAAACTTTGTTCATCGTCTGGGGAAATGTAATCTGCACCGTCCACTTCCCTTTTATCTATAGTATTTGGACAGAATCTTTCCTAATATAACTGCAACGCAAAAATAATCATATTTAATAAATAATCCATTGTAAATAAAAAAAATATTAATAAAAGCATCTTTACAAATAAATACAAACCTTTCTCTGCAACGCTGTATTTGATTTTTTTTTCATTTTTTAGTAATTTTCTTTGAACATAAAAAAACAAATTAACAACTCTGTCCAAGTGCTCCAGCTAATGTACATGCCACTTCCATTAATTTCCCTGCATTTAAAAAAATATTATTTAGTCATACAATTCATGAGGCATAATTTACAAATCTTACTGCACTAAGTACAAGTGGGGTATAGGGTAAGCGAAAGGAGTGGCTTCAGTCGATCACAGCTGGGGTTTGTCTGGACTTTTTAATAAGTTGTGGCAAATTGTACAAAAAAGTACAAGTCACTAGTGCACGAGATTAAAGTCCTATTTTGACTCTTGATAATCAAAGAATTTACAAAAAAGCTTTTACGGAATTACGGTTTTACCTCTCCTTTGCTTTGAGACAACCTTCGGCGCCGTCGTCGGTGCCACCTTGCTAGACGGAGTCTCCGTCGTTTCCTCCACCGGAAATAGAACTCCATCAATACCCTGCACTGATATCCTCCCGTCGGTGTAAATATCCGGGTCGAACAAATACGCAGACTCCTCGCCTTGACCGAACTTCACTGACCCATCAGCCTCCTCCGCCACCACCTTATGCGGTAGCCGGAGTGTATCATATCGGACCTTCCCGAACCGCCGTACTGAGTTGTACATACTTTCTTCGGTCTGATATTCCGGTATTATATGATAGTACATTATCTGCTCCGGTGCACCCGGGTCACTGAGTTGGTCGGTGGTAAGTTTAGCCATGGCTTCATCGTTGGGTGCCAACACAGTTAAAACATAACCCTCCGACACTAATTTCCCCATCTCCGTCGCTAAGGAAGTTAGATTTACCAATATGTCTGCTAATTCGTTGTAGCCACCGTAATGGAGTAGCGTTTGGATGAAATCTTTCACCTGGCTCTCGCCGTCGAAGTGGTGGCGTGGACCACCGGGGCCTGGGGCTGGTGCAGGTGCTAGAGAGGGGCCCGGAGCCAATGCGTCGTATACCGGAAGTGCCGGTGGAGCACCGGCAGGAGCCGGAGTAGCTGATTTCTTTAAACGGTGGGTTCTCGGATCCACAACAGGAGCTCCTTCCGGTAAAACAGCAGAAATAGAACTCAAACTCCTCCGCCGATTGAAATCTTCTTGCACCGATCGAGGAACCAACAACCGCTCAATCCCATGGATCAACCCGTCGGCTCGGATGACGTCATCGGGACGAACAACTCTAGCTAGACCACCGACCATTTTCTCGCCGGAATTCCCTCGTGTCAACGGCAAGCGGTTGTCGGATTCGTCAACACAAAGCGTCTGATGGTGAACAACTTCTTGTTCAGGCCATTCCTTTGCCCCAACCCGAGACGGAATTATATGGTAAAGCAATAGATTCTGTAGAGACTTGAGATTCCGGGGCTCAAGCAAGAAGCGTTTGAACTCAGGATCCATTTGTCTCTCAAGAGCTTCATTATTGGGTGCGAAAATGGTGATATTGTGATGCGAAACCGCTTGCTCAAGCGTCTGTAGAAGAAGTGCTTTCTCAACGAGCTCCGATAGCTCTGTGTAGTGTGAATCGAGAAGTGCTACCAGAACCGAGTTGGAATTAATCTGGGTAGAACTAGATTTGGGGTTTTGTGCCGTCAATGCATTTACATTAATGGCGAGAAAGAAGACGATGAGGTTTAATGCACCATAGATCTGAGAATCCATGGCGCCTAAGTGGGAGAAATTTACAAGATTACAGATTACCTGAAGAAGATGATGATGAACTTGACTACTTGAGATTCGAGAACACTTTCTTTCTATAAATTTGATGAAAATGTGTGTCGTGTTTTTATAAAATTTTGCACTTTCCCTTTGCTAAAAACTGGTTTCTCTCTCTATAGGGTTTGAGTGGAATTAAATGGAAGATGGGATTAAAACAGCGGGTTCAGGTGGTAAGATGAGAGAGAAAGACGAAACGGCAAGCGGTGGTGTCGTTTTATGAGTTAGGAAGGGAAAACACAGGCTGGCTGACAGGATGGGTCCCACACGGTGGACAAAAAGGCTTTTTGCGGTTCTTGTATGGCTTCCCAGCTCATAGTTCCTATTCTCTGGAATTGCATGAATTAGGAAGAAAAAAAAATTATTTCCGAAATGAAAATAATCTGATGAATTATAAGAAAATAATCATCTTTTAACAAATTTTAAAAGTGGTTGTCAAGTTCTAAAGTGTACTTTTTTATATTTGAACACAACATTTTTTTTATTTTTGAACATATTTCAACAAAAAACAAGTTTGATTTTTTTTGTTTATACAAAATCCAGATATTCGAACTTGAATATGAATATCCATACATATTTTTCCAAAAAATGTTACTTGGACCATTTTCTTTTTCTGAGCTTCTAAGATTTTCTTCATTGGTATAATTTTCAAACATACTTTTTTTTATAAATTTCCAACATGTTTTTCATTGATATGCATGGGGTTGAAATTTAATAACATTATCGTTACTAGTAAGAGTGAAAACTTGATAACATTATCACAAAAATTGTCGAATTGACATATGGTCTAGGAATTTGACAAACTTCCGCATAGTTAATGAAAAAATAGAAACAAAATGATAAACAAAACATGTCGCTTGGCTATGGATTCCTTGTTATGTTGACTACAAAATTCGTTTGGAAAGGTACTGCATTCAATGCTATGGATTCCTTGTTATGTTGACTACAAAATTCGTTTGGAAAGGTACTGCATTCAATCCATATATATGCAAGTTATAAGACCATGAATATCGGGTGTTGCACATTCATTAATATTCATTACATTG